TTTAAAATTTTTATTTTTTTCACTGTTAATATTATTTAGTTGTAAATTGTTTTTTCTTTACTACTAGTCGCATTTAATTGGGGATTGGTTTTAGGTCAAACATTGTTTTTGTTAACTGGTTGCCTTTTTGTTATCATGTTATTTAGGGTAGGTTTTATTTTTGTGTCCTTTGTCTTATATCTTATTTGTGTGGTCATTTATCTTCTCAGTCCCTTTAGTGGTTTTGTACTTTGGGTGTTACTTATTGTATTATGTTTTAGGTCGATTTTCATAGTTTTCAGCTTTGTTATTTTTGTATACTTTGTAGACTCTATATGTTTCAAAGTTTTTGTTACTTCTGAGTACTTTCTCCAAATTCTTTAGTTTGTTTGTCTTTTTGGCTACACTTTGCAACAGTTCTGTTATTTATACAAGTTCTCTTTGAGGATTTCTGACTTCTGTTTTGCTCCCCCTCTACCCAGTTCCCAGATCTCTTTCACTCCTCCTCAGTATTGTGCCTTGTCCAGTCATCCTACTACACAAAGGAGCTATAGAATGGGTGGTGCCAACTCAACCAGGAGTTTACTCCTGTCTTTCTTTGTCTCCAAATACATGGGAGTTTAGAGTCCCTTCATAGATCTGTCTTGTCTGTATACCTATCTTGAGATGCCTCACTTCACCATGGAGTCCTATCTATCACGTTGGTGGGTTTTCTGCCCCAGTGTCACATTCTTTTTCCTCGGTTCCTCTATGAGGGTTTTGCTTTCCAGTTCTGGGCACTACCAGCCTGCCTTTCTTCAGCTCCATTTGTGTTTTGTGGAGTGGTATGCTCTTTTGCATGTCATTTTCAATTGCTTGGTTTTTGGACTCACCATTTCATGGACAATGGGCTTTTGCTCAATTCTTCCCATGCATGGTTAGTCCCTCTTACTCCCTTCATTCTTCAAGAAGATTCTTGGTAGGGTTCCTTTTCAGGTTGGATAAGTCTTTTAGTATCCTCTTGCATTATCTTAATCATTTGAGGGTTCCCTTCACTTCTTTTCTTGGTTGAGCCAATCCTTTCCCACTTCAGCTCCAGGATATTGAGAGGGCAGTCACGTTCACCATACCTTCTTCTTTTTTATGTGTATGTGAGGTTCTCCCTTTTTGGGATGTGGAAGCACTCATTCTCTTGGCTCAGGCACACATGTATTCCCTTCATTGTATGCTTCGCAACCAGTGGAATTTCCCTCATGATCCTTTGGACCATCCATCTCATTTTCCTCAATTCCCCAGAGGTTTTGTGTTGGTGGGCAGTTGAGGAGGCTACTCTCCATATCAACATCCTGGAACCTTTGGTAGTTCATTGGGCTTTCCTTTCCTCCCATTCCTGCAGATGGAGGGTGGTTATGGTTTATTCTGAGAATTCCACTGTTGTCAGCTTTATCACCAAGCAAGGGGAAACCAAGCATCGATCTCTGTCTGTTCGGACTCTGGATTTCATGTAATAGGCCTATGACCATGACATGACTATTCTGGCGTGTCATGTCCCTGAGTTATGAATCTTGTGGCCAATCTCTTGTCACATCCCCACCAGGTTCCCCACAGTGTGGTCTCGTCATCCTCACATTTTTTTATGGGTGTGTTTTCAACAGGGAACACAACATATATGTGTATTCCATTCAGTGGTATGCCAAACTTCCTTCCTTTTTGGTCTCCAGATCCCCACCCCTCAGCTCACGGGTGGATGCTTTCAGTCAAGATTGGAGAGGTCTTAACCTATATGCCTACCCTCTGATCTGACTCATCTTCTTGGTCTTTTCCCTTATCCAGACCACTCCTTGTTGTGTTCTGGTGGTTGCACATTTCTCTGCCCTGTCTGCTCCTCAGTCAACTGCGATCTGACATTTTTCATCCCAACGCCACCACACTCCATATTTCTGTGTGACTTTTGTCCAGTCCAGTGCCTCAGCTCAGGGACTCACCCCTCATATCATGTCATTCCTTGCCTATATCATTGGCCCTTCCTCTTTGTCTATGTACCAGAGGCACAGATCTTTCTTCTGTCTTTGGTCTATTTTTCATGGCTTTCAACCCTCCTGTACTTCTGTTCTTCACCTGTCCCAGTTCTTCCTCTGGTTGTTTGATCAGGTTTTGTCTGTTTCAATTATTGCTCTTTATAGAACTGCCCTGTCAAACATCCCCTGTTCTCCCATTTCCACAAAGCTTTCTTGTCCTGAGGTTTTCCATTTCTTTTGTTTGGTCCATCTCCAATGTTTGTTTATTCTGCTAGATTGGGATCTCAGTGTTGTCCTTCATGTCCTGTGTGGTTCTCCCTTTGAACCCACTGCAATTTGTTCCTTGTACCATTTTTCTCTTAATACCTAAATCCTTCCCCTCCTTGCATGTGGTCATCATCTTTACAATATTTATGTCATCCTATACCATTCCTCATTTGTCATTCATTATGAGAATTGGGCATGCCTTCCCTGGACTTTGGCTGCCCAGGAAGGTTGTTTTGCCTTTTCTCCTGCTTCCTTACCTTCCTTTTCCCACCTGTATTTCTGTTTGGATCTGGGTCATCTACTTTGTCCAGTTTGTTCCCTGCTATGTTATTTAGCTCGAACTGCTTCCTTTTATTGTTCTCTTTCCTGTCTAATTGTTCCATGGCATTACTGTTTCCCATGATTTTTCATCTTTTATGCTCATGGGTTGGTGTATTTTGGTGTACAACTGGTGTATTTTGACATGTCCCTGGCAGGTTGCTGTCTACATATTGTTTCTTCGCACCAAATGCATCATCAAACTAAGTCTTTAGCTGCTCCACACCACCATCTATTGGAGGCGATTGTTAAGGCTGGTATGTAGACAACTCCCAATACATTCATCACTCTTTCTCTCCACAACATAGCTGTGTCTTTCTCAGGAAGGTATCATCTTCTTTCTGTGGTGACCTAAACACGTCTCTTCACCTTCAACTGGGGTAAATAGTTCATATGATTTTTTTTATCTTATTTCATTGATATACATCATATTTCAGGATCCCACCTGGTGGAGGGTATTGCATGGTCAGTATGCTGAATTTTATATCTTAGCACTATATCTGTATACTTCTAAAACACTCACTGTGGAGATGGGGTGTTACTCTAAGACCACTGGGGACTTATCCAGTGGTGTATATATATCACTTTTTTATCAATATATATACTGAGGACCATCACTCATGGACTTCATGAGTAAAGCAGATAAGGATTTTTGCCCATCCCTACTGACCCGTGATTCTTACAATCCAGGTCTTTCTATTTTTCAAAATAGGGAAACGCAGACACCCATTGCACTGTTTCTGGTGGTTTGTACCTCTGGATCCCCAATGAATATTCTCCCTTCTTTCTTCTAGTTGAGCCTGTGGGTCCTTTCCACTACTGGTTCCCAGTTGCTGGAGTAGTGGACTGAGGAGGTTTCCTCATAAGTGGGACTTGTATGATAAAACTAACTCATAGTCATATGTACACACTCAGTGAAAAGAGGGCTGTCATTGTTATGTTTCATATTATATACTATTATTATTATATCATCAATCCAAGGCACTTCTCCTGGTTGTTTTTGCCAGGGTTGATCACAATTGTTGATCATGACATACACTATTAATGCAAGGCGTTTCCACTGGATGTTTTCTGCCTGGTTGGATGGCACTTGTTATATTTCATACTGATACAAAGCACTTCCCCTTGATGTTTTTGGTTGGACGTACCACACTTGTTGATCTCTCAATACCTTTTTTACAAGCTGTGAAACTCACAATCTTATGCAAGGCACTTCCACTGGATGTTTTCTGTCCAGATGGACCTCACTTGTCACACTACTTCATATCACAAGGTGCTTCCTTAGGATGTTTTTTTGCCTAGGTGGATTACACTTGTTGATCTCAAAATATATTATGCACAAAATATGGAAAAACAAATACTATTCAAGACACTTCCACTGTATGTTTTCTGTCATATTACTTCATATCACAAGGTGCTTCCCCCTGATGTTTTTTGCCAGGGTAGACTGTACTTGTTGATCTCAATATCTCTTGCATACAAAATATGAAACAGAAAAAATACTATGCAAGGTGCTTCCACTGGATGTTTTCTGCTTCCCTAAGATATTTTGCCCAGGCTGTGACCATACTTGCATATCTTGATGTCAATCCAAGGTATTTCCCCTGCACGTTTTTTACCTTGGACCACACTTGGCATAATACATTGTATCCCAAGACACTTCCTCTGGATGTTTTCTGCCCAAGCAGACTGCACTTGGCCTATTCATATATGGTTCTCTAGCCATAGCCATGTATTCTATTTGATTCCACCATATGTGTCTACCTTTCTTCTTTACTGGGCAGAAAGCATACTTGTTCTAGAAGTAGTATTATACCCCACAGATGTCTTCTATTTTATTTGGTGGTTGTTCTCTGCTCATTTAATTGTGTTTTTGCATTTTCACTGGCCCCTCCACCTTTCCAATGTGAGATTCTAGCTTTGGGTAAGGGATTTAGTACCGTTTTGGAAGTTAACATTTTCTAACATTGAAAATGTATTTCTGGTAGGTACTTACCTTCTCTCATCTACTTCCTACCCACTGATTTGCTGGTGTTTCTGGTTTATATATGCCAATTATCGAAAGTGAGGATTGTGCTACAATGGTTGAGGGAGTTACCTGTGCTAGTATAGGTGGCACAGTAGGGTTGGTGGAAGGTTGTCTCATGATCAGCAAATGTTGCTGCAATGATGCAAAAAATATAGGAGTATAAAAGACTGGTGCACTGTTAAAAATTTTAGCAATGCTTAGAGGGCAAATGAAGGTCAAGATAGCTTTTGGTGAGTTGAGGTAAGCATCTATTGGAAATACATTTTCACTATTAGAAAATGTTAACCTTCTACAAATGGCTATATTATCGATTGAATACAAGTTTATAGATTCACTGAGTCTGTCCATAGGTAATGCACTCTTCTATTAAAGTTTAACAAAACGTAATTATATTGTAATTTTTTGATTAGATGGATGTTTTGGACTGACTGGGGTACTTCAGCCAAAATTGAAAGGGCTGGGTTAGATGGATCTCATCGAAAAGGCATCGTCACTTCTGATATACAGTGGCCCAATGGATTGGCTATAGGTATGCTAATGTTTCTGAAAGTTAGCCTGAATTTGTTCTACAGAACAGAAATGTTAATATACTTATTCATACAAACTAAAACATGGAACTACTAAAATATGTGTTTTGAGTTGTGTTATATTATGGCTACTTTCTTTTGTCTATAATTGAGTTGGGCAATTTCATAATGATTCTATAAGAATGAAATGAAATTAGTGAACTTAACAGTCTTCTGAAGCACCTCCTGCTTGCTAAAATTCCTAGTAAAACATATTATTTTATGTCTTTTTACAGATTTTCTGTCTAAGAAAATTTATTGGGTTGATGCCAAACTTCATACACTAGGGAGTGTAGACTACAATGGTGATAACCAGCAGATTGTGTTGTCTTCACCAGTTGTCCTTAGATATCCCTTTTCTGTGGATATATTTGAAGTAAGGCAGTTTTTGAGTAGTATTTTAAACATCATGCATACTTAATATAGTTTCAGTATCCTGTTAATGTTTAGAATGAAAAATTTTAGAAGTGTATGTTCTAATATCCATATTTTCACCTGTAGGACTGGGTATATTGGACAGACTGGGAATCTAAAGCTATTCACAAGGTTAACAAATTTACTGGTAAAGAAAAGAGTGATATAACTGTTGGTGTTACCCATCCCATGGATCTTCATGTTTATCACAAATATAAACAACCCATTGGTAAGCAAAACACAAATTTTATTACTCATCACTGCTAGTAAATTTTACTTGTTTTGTGTTAATATATATGATGCTATAAGGACAGTTAATGTGTTGTTAAGCAAGATGGAAATCATGGTTAATTATTAAATGCTACTATGTATTTCTTGTTATAAAATATATATTTGAACTTGTTATTGATGGAAAATTCCTTGTGTCATTGAGTAGTACTATTTGTCATACACCAGGTGAGAATCACTGTGGAGTTCAAAATGGATATTGTTCCCATCTTTGCTTACCATCACCTAATCTGACCTCAATTTCTGCAAAGTTCAGATGTGTGTGTCCTGATAACATGGAGCTTCAGAGTGACCAAAGAACTTGTATTATCAAAAGTAATGGTCTCTTATGTCTTGTTATGTATGAAATAAAGTGAGTTTTATAATATGAAAAACTAATCTTATTATATAGGCTGTCTTAAAACTGAGGTAGGTAAGAGTATTGAAATAATATGAAAAAAAAATAATCTTATTATATAGCTTGTCTCGAAACTGAAGTAGGTAAAAGTATTGTAATAATATGTAAAACTAATCTTATATAGGCTGTCTTAAAACTGAAGTAGGTAAGAGTATTGTAATAATATGAAAAACTAATCTTATTATATAGGCTATCTTAAAACTGAAGTAGATAAGAGTATTGTAATAATATGAAAAAACTAATCTTATTATATAGGCTGTCTTAAAACTGAAGTAGGTAAAAGTATTGTAATAACATGAAGAAACTAATCTTATTATATAGCTTGTCTTAAAACTGAAGTAGGTAAGAGTATTGTAATACTATGAAGAACTAATCTTCTCTTATCATGTAAGCAGTGTTAAAATTCAAGTAGTTGAAAGTATTTATAGTAAGAAAAATATTTTTCTTCAGCATTTAAGAAGTGTTAAAGCTCAAGTCAATAACAGTTTTATCTTCAGTTTATCTAGTACAAGAAATTACACAGATCTACCATGTGGTTTTTGTAAATTTCTTCATAACTAAATTTTAATGGATTATTACAAAATGACATGCTAAATTATGAAATGAAAAATTGTATGTGGGTGAAACATGAGACAACATTAATCATACAAGTTAAATCTACATTATAGATAACATATATGTGGGTGAAACATGAGACAACATTAATCATACAAGTTAAATCTACATTATAGATAACATATTTTCATGTCTTGTATGTTTGTACAATTATTGTTTGGAATTAGTGTTTCTACCTTAAAATTTGTAATTTTCTTCCAATATTTATTGAAGTGTGTGTTTAATTTGGTCAAAGGTTGATAAATACTCTGGAAGGAAGGCCTATTCTAAAATGTAGACTTTCATAATGAATAAAATAATTTAGATTGAAATTTACCAGGACCTGTTTGATGTGTTTCTCAAGTGGCAATTTTTAGGCAAAATCTTCCTTATTTATTTAAAAAAAAATCACTGTTGTTTCAGATCCATCTACTAGAAGCAGTACTAGCACAAATAGTGTAACCACCTCACAATCAAGAAACTCTTCTTCTTCTACAAATAAAGTTTCAACTTCAGGTAAGAGAGATACTTCATGTAGCTAGACTTAATGTTTTCAGTAACAAAACTACTAGTTTTAGTCAGTAAGTGCCCAGAAAAAAATCAAAACTACATTGATCATCAGTAAGATATAACAACAACTTTTCTGCATACTCTACTCATCAAATATTCTCCTGCTTTTGCTTTTTTTATTTGTAAATATACAAAAAATGCTCAAAAGAAAGAGCTTCACATACAAGACAAAATACATTCAAAGCACAGACTACAGAATACGCAGAGTAAGATATACCAGTAGAGCTACAAAAACACATATTACATTTTTCATCCTGTATCTTGTTTTATTTTATTTGTTCTATGAGTGCATTTTGGGAAATAATTTTGGTCAGATTTGGTCAAATTTACTTGAAACTTACCTTGGTCAGATAATTTGAAATTCAGAAGGACAGTCTAAAAATTGTTACACGTATTCTTGATCAAGTTTGTTTGTGATAATTAAGCTAACAAATTACACAAAATGAAATGTACAATCTATATATTTTAATACTGATAGAAACTCACTTAACAGAATAACTAAAGAAAAAGATCTTGACGTACTGGTAAATAAACCACTGAAGCCATCGAGACAAGTTCTTATTGCTAGTAGTAAAGCTAACAGAGTGATAGGATGCATTTATTTACATTACTGCATGGTGTTCAGTTGCATTCATAAGTAGCTGCAATTGATGGACAGCCTAACACTGCAAAGCAGCTTTATATAACTACTGACTCCCACAAAATTATTTCTATTATATTACATGTGCAGTGATGCTAGCTGAATTCTGCAGAACCTTCATGCTCCATAATTTGTGTCCAGCTCTTTATTCAGGCTTTGTGATATATCCTGCTTAATTGGTTACATCAGGTCCAGCATTCTATCCACTTGCATCAAGTTGCAGTGCCTGTACGACATAAATTTTACAGATTTGATTTGGTCATTTCTTTTATTTTGTCAAATCCTTCCTCATTTGATTGGTTACAAAATTTGTATTTATTGACTATTTTGAAATTGACTTGTTTCGTTTTTTAAATAAGTCAGATCCCATTCAATTGGTTTGACAATAAATTGTTTTTAATTGGAGATTTTCGGTGAGAAACTTGACACTGCACAGCAGCTTTAAGTATTCACTCAAATCAGATGAATCAACCTCTGGATCCACATTTACCTTCATGATCATAGCAAGGTTTATGTCTGCTCATCTCTCCATGTCGTGACCTCTGTACCTTTATTCCAACATGTAGGTTGCTAGTTCAACATGGATCCACATTTACCTTCATGATCATAGCAAGGTTTATGTCTGCTCATCTCTCCATGTCGTGACCTCTATACCTTTATTCCAACATGTAGGTTGCTAGTTCAACAAGATGCTGCTTCATCTTCTTGGAGATTGAGATCATTGATTTTTTATCTTTGGGCTCTGTGGTACATCATGCATAATTAGTTGCATCAAATCCACCATTTCACCCACTTTCAACAAGTTCCACTGACTTGAGGCTTTAAGTACCAGATAAACTTTAGACTTGTTTAGGGCACTTCTTCCATTTTATGAAATGCTTCTTCATTTGAGTGGCACTGTTGGCATAAATTAGGTTACAAAATGTGCATTTACTGACTACTTTGAAATTGACTTGCTTCTTCTTGAAATATATGAAAATCCAATTTATTGGCTTGGATATTAATTTTCACTCTATAGTAAAACCCAATATAACAGAAAGAATTAAAAATCAAAAATACTTTCAAAATTAATTGGTAAATAAATAGGTTCACAGAACAAATCTGAAATAAATGTCCAATCATTTTTTAATATAATTATCAACCAATTACCTTTCTTTCTGGATATTTTAACCAGTTTTCATAATGAATATGATACTAGACCACCCATTTTTTAGAACTTTATTGGACATGTCTCTTTTCTATGCAGTCAATCACAATTCACCATTAACCTATTTGTATTTCACAGTTATAAAATTTACGAGAAACTTGATTAATGATAGAGAAATTTCTGAAGAACAAAAAAAAAAAGCTAAAGATTGCTATAACTTTGCAGTGACACCCACAAACACCTGTCACACCCACAAACAAACATACCCACCCATGCACGCTCACACTAGAGGCTAGGCCGATAGTAAATTCTAGAGATCTCACAATCAGTACAAAAGATTGGAACTAAACTGGAAAACAGACTACATTAGACTTCTTTAAAGTAAGAAACATGTTGAAAAATAACTAAGTAACTTGGAGTGATCATAAATATTCTACATTATCAACCTTGTTGGCTGATAAAAGGAAAAAAATTAGAAATTGAAAATATATGTAAGAGTAAATTACACATCACAATAAATTGGTTTTAATTGGAGAATCTTAAGGAACTTATTTCCTGTTGCCTGTAGGTTAGCTTAGACTATATAATAGCATAATAATTATAAATTAAGATTGTGATTTTGAATAGAATGCTAAAAATTATTTATAATAATCATGTAACAATAAAAAATGTTTCAGTAAAACTTTTTACAGTAAATGGAAGCTTTTTCAGATTTACAACATGTGTTCAATTATTCATTTAAGACTTAACACAATACACATTTATTAATGAAATCAAATAATTTAGGTTAAAATGTGATTATAAAGCTAAGAGGTATGACCATTTTGCAATTATGTCTGTAACATATTCAAATCAGCTACTGTCTCAAAACAGATCTGATGTCCAGTTCTAAAAATATGTTTCATCTGAGTAGTGGTTCATTTCAAACTTATTTTTTTTATTAATGTTCTTTCTCTTTGTTATTAGGATCAGTTGTACCTGCTAGCCTATCAGAACTGACAACAAAACCACAATTAGTAACCTTAGACCCGTTTCTAGCAGTCACTGGTAATAGTAGTAGCAAGCACCTGTATGAAGTCACATCCTCAGAAGTTGACACTGGTAGAATAGCTGGCATTATTATTGGGGTTTTAGGAGGGCTAGTGGTCCTCATTACTCTGGTAAGAAACAAGGAAAGAGTAGCTTTCTATTCATTTACCCTTAGTCATATTTGTTTCAATTTTAGAGAACAGCCCATCATTTTGAATATTTCTTAAGCTTTTATGAACTGTAGTAAGTGGAGGGAGAATAAAAAAAATTCACAAATAAACACAAAGGGTAATAACTTTAGTCAAAAAGTTACCAAAGAAAAACAATTACTGTGATAAGTATATATATTTCTTTATCTTACATAATTGTTAAATGTTAAATCAGATAGAGTAGATTGAAACAAATAGATGAATAAATTTATTTGAATATTGTCATAAAAATTACTTGGAAAATGCTTTTTTTAAACAGATTATTATCCTAGTCTACAAGCAGTATGTCCACAGAAATATACGAAGTATGAATTTTATCAATCCAGTGTATGGGAAAACAACAGAAGATCTACTAAGTTTAGAAAACAATCAGTATCAGTCTTCAAGATCATACATTTCAGTGAGTAATAAGTTTATAAGTTTTCTGGAAGTAAACATAAAGACTAAGATTGGAATAGAGAGATTAGATTAAAAACAACAATAGTATGCAATTGTCTTTTAATGAGTAAAAAGAAAAAGTAATAAAATAGCACTTCGATGTTTGCTCAGCAGGTGAGAACTCTATCAGAGTTGGTTATTAAACCTGTGATTCTGTTATGTTTTTTTTTTAAATCTAATGGTTCTTTTAATGGTGAATATGTTTTTAAAATTGTGTGAATCTTGTGTAATGATATATGAATGTGTTAAAGATGTTTTGATTTTAATTCTAAAGCTTCGTATGACTGTGATTTCATTTGCAAAATTCTGTAGCATATATGTGTTTGTGTATCTTTAATATGGATTGATCTAATCATCAATTAAAGCATATTTTGAGAAATTGAATTATTTTCTATCTTTTCAGTGCAACAAAAATTTCTGTAATTCAAAATAATAAACTCTTTGGCATTGATAAGTATAGTTATTTGTTAGTCAGAGTTGATCATATTTGAAGAAACAGTTATATAGTTACAGATTACAACACTTTTTTTTGTGTCATATCTTTCAGAGTCTGGAGTCACTAACTTCACCAGGTACCAATGAGTTTGTATAACTCTTGCTCTGGCTATTTTGAGCACTGCAGGCAGTTTGATTAAAGGGAATCAGTGCTATTAATATGTTTGGAATAGCTTTGAATTTATTTAAAACAATAAAATATGTATTTTTTGTTGGATGTTATTGAACTTGTGAATCACACAATTAAGGGAACAATAAAATGTGCATTATTTGGGGGATTAAGTCACAAGATGGTGAGAACAATTTAAGGAAGCCTATATGACTTAACACATTGTTACATGTGACTGAAAGTCAAATGTTATGTTCTTTCAGAAAAGTTCCAAACTCTATAGCACTTGAAAACAAATTAAGTTATTACAGCAACATTGTAGAAGATAAAACCTGGTTATTTTGACAGGAAGAAACCATTGATGCAGTACATTGTGGTTAGGTAACTGTCACACACACATAGAGGGAAATAAGGGAGGTTCAGTCCTTATTTTGATGAAAACCTGGTTATTTTGACAGGAAGAAACCATTGATGCAGTACATTGTGGTTAGGTAACTGTCACACACATAGAGGGAAATAAGGGAGGTTCAGTCCTTATTTTGATGAAAAGTTGGTGTATTTTGAATGTGGTTTATGCACAAAGTAAATTCTAAATGATTGCCATTTGTTTATTTTCTTTTTACTATGAGTGAAATCTAAATTGATTGCACTATTGGAGGAAAAATTATACTACCTTAAGGATGAATATTCTGAGTTCCATGACATTTAGACAACTGATGTTACTGTGTTGTAGTATAGCTTCTACACCTTGAAGTATGTGACATTTTGTATAGGTTACTGTTGTGTAGCTTAAAATGGCAGTTTGTGCCATTTCTTTTTCAGGTTTTTATTTATTTTTTTCATTAATCCATATGGTATTTTAAAAGTAACAAAATGTAGCTAAAGGAATCACTAATATTTTTCCAAGATTATAGTTAGAAAAACTACAGTGAACAGAATCTAGAAAGGGAATTTGCACAAATAGATATGAGCATAGAAGGTTTAGATTAAAGATACAGTAAACTTGAGAGGTATCTTTTCATCAGGATGCTTGATTGAGAAACTAATAGTAAAGGAAATTGATGTAAATTTGCCCACATAGCTGGCAGATAAAATTATTTACAAAGGAGAGATATATTTTTTACAATGTGAATAGCTATGGTTAACTGTTTTAAATAAAGAAGATAAATATGATAAATCACCAGATATAATAATTTGATTCCCAATGTTTTTCCATATCAGTTTTATCAAGTTTTATCACCTAACAAAACCTAAATTGAAAAATTACAGTAAGTAAAAGATCATTTTAAATAATACAACAGTTCAATGTTTTTGTCACAGTGTGATAAAATTAATAAAGCTGATACAGGAAAATTTTGGAACAAAATTGTTTTATCAGTTGATCTGTAATGCTTATTAACATTTTATAATGTCTACCATTTTGTAGCTTGCATTGAAAGATAATCATGTTGAATATTGTATTATTGTTATTATTACTGTTCGTAAATATTTTATGGCTGGATCATTCAGAATAACAATGTTGGTGTGTCAACAACACTACTGAATTTGAAACTAGTTACCATATATAAAAAGCAAAAACAGTAAATAAGGTTTTTATTTTTGTTGGGTGTATTTTTTTTACTTTATCTTATTTATGTTGATACATCTATAAAATTTCATTACTTGTAAGAAAAATAATATAAATTTATTCGTATTAATTGTCCTTTTATAGTTTTGTTTATTATATTTGTTTGTTTTTATTAGCATGTTTTAGTTTAGTATGTCCTGGTTTAGTATTTCTCCATGTGAATAATTAGTCTTAGTTTCATTATTATTATTTTATTTATGGTATATTTTTGTAAGCCAAGAATGTTTAAACCGGGGTGGCTAGCCCAGTCGTAGGACGACCATGTTCAGTGACAGGGATTCAAACTCGCCACTGTGAGATTGAGAGTCCAGTGCCGTAAAAAATTCACAATAAAATACTTCATAATTTTGACGTTTACATTTGTAAAGAAATATTATCAGTCCATCAAGCTTCCCCACAATGTGTTAAATGTTTGATTTTAATCTCTTTGCATAAAATTTATATAGTTAGAAACTATAAAAGATTTTACTACTGCTAGGAAAGTAACTGAAATGGAAAAGAAACTCGTTAATTTCTTTATTACATAATTTCATGTAAACTGGTGAAATTTAACTTCTGACAAATTTTTAACTAAGTAAAATATCCTTTAGAAATTACAGTTCGAAAATTATAAAACATGGGTAAAAGTATCTCCTCATTTTCTTTGTATATAATTTTGCTACTGAGGTGTTTACATGAATTGTTTAATGATGTTTTTCACACCAATCTGAAATTTGAAGAAAGACGTATAAGCTGAATTTTTAAATATATTTACATTTATATAATTTTTCAAGGTTGTGAACTAGAGTTGATTACATGAATGACAAATCTCTTAGAAAAAATGGAATGCTTATTGCATGATTTCATCTGACTTCAGTATACTGTTGAAGAGTAAAATATTTCACGTTGCTTCACCTAGTTTTCTAAGTACCATAGGAAAAAAAGGGAAATTTGAAATTTTGTTTTAGCAATTTGTTTGGCTTATAATTATGTATATAAAAGGGATTTCCAGGGAGAAAGTTAATGTATGATATGATTAGACTACAATATCATTGGAATTTATATACACGTTATCATAACATTTGAGCAGAAATTATGTACGTTATGTTTCATTTGTCAAGGAGTGTGTGCTAAAGTTTATTATTATGTACGTTATGTTTCATTCATCAAGGAGTGTGTACTAAAAGTTATTATTATGTACGTTATGTTTCATTCGTCAAGGAGTGTGTACTAAAGTTTATTATTATGTACGTTATGTTTCATTCGTCAAGGATTTCCTTGACGAATGAAACATAACGTACATAATAATAAACTTTAGTACACGTGTGTACTAAAGTTTATTATTCTTCAGTTTGTATGAATTTTATTAAACTTTTCTGATCAGCATACAAAATCCATTGCCATCAGTGTATAGTTATTTATGTATAGTTACTTTAATTAGTTTCCTTAAATTTTTTGTAACGATTTACATTTTGTATTGCAAAAATACTGAGAAAGATGTTTTTGTCAGAAAGTTTAAAAAGTGTTAGGAATAGCCTGTTTGGTTTAAGAAAGTAATACCGACTATAATATGCTCCTAGTCATGGGGTAAGTTATAAATATAGTAATAGGTTTTAATATTCATTTTACATACGAAATCATAAAGATATCCATTTATTTTCTTATACTATTATTATTCCTCATGTTAGTCTAGAAAGAAATGTTATAAAAATTTCTACATGTATTTGTGAAAGTACTTTTAATAAAAATAATTAATATTGTGAAGTATACCCTGTATTTTTTAACGTATTATAGTGGAAAATGTACGTATACACTGTTTTACATGATGTAGAGCCGAAGTATTTTTAAGCAACATTAAACGTTAGAGTACCCCAAAAGCTGTATAGAGTATACTGTTGAGTTAGTAAATAATGTTGCAAGAGAAAGAGTAGGAAAATCTTGATACGCGCTTGTTGGATATACAAGAATGTTTAGTGTAAGCGTTATTATTTAATTTATTTTGTGACTTAATATTTAAGAATAATTTACTTTTCATAACAAGAGAGTTAAAAGTAATTATTTTAAAGGCGACAGTTATGATAAGTTTGGTTGCGTAACTCGGAAAGAGTCGTACGTTGTGTGTGTGTGGTTCAATTATTTTAGTATTGTTGACTCCAAGTTACTCGAATTTTCGGTATTTTTCTCGTTACCTTAGGATAGTATTGTTCCAATATAGCGTCGCGTAGTTTATAGAAAGTTTAAGGCCTCACTGAACAACATATAAATGTAGGCGACCAAGCCAGCGTAAATGAAGTAAAGTTCAGCCAGAAAAAAGTAAAAAAACGTGAAAGTTAGCCAGCGTGTGAGTGATCAGGCATAACGGTCAATATATTAAAGTGAGTTTCACAGTTTAATCGAGAGTTTAAAGTGAGTTTCACAGTTTAATCGAGATAAGGAGAATGATTTGTCTTGTCAAAGGATATTCTAAAGTAAAGTAATTCTTTGTGGACTTTGACAAAAGGAGACAGTTATTTAAAGTTCGAGATACAACTGTGGTAATCCTCAGAGTAGAGAAAAATAATTCACGTTGTCAATTGGATTCTAAAGTAATTGAATCAACTGAGTGGACTTTTTGACAAAAAAGAGAGAATTATTTAGAGTTTTAGATACAACTGTGATATCCTATAGGTTATAGTGTAAATAATTTTTGCCTGTGACTTGTTGGCGATAAATTCGAACAATAAACGGACAGCACGGACTACACTTGTGTTAAAATAATACAATCAAAACAAGATAAAGGTATGTACAAAACTTCTTTAGATTATGGAGATCACAGTTGTAACTTAAACACTATACAGTTCTTTTTGTTAAAAGTCCATTTAGGCTGATTCAATTGCTTTAGAATCCGGTTGACAAGCCAGACTATTTATTCTATACTTTTATCACAATAGTATCAGTGAATAATTCGCTTATGTTACCTCTTGGGTTACCACAGTTGTATCCTTAATTTCAAAGAATTGTCTTCATTTTGTCAAAGTCCATACAGGCGGGTTCACTTAGTATAGAACACCCTTTGACTAAACAAATTATTCTCCTTATCTCTATCAAACTGTTAAACTCACTTTAAAATATGAACCGTTAAGGATATTCACTCACACTATGGTTAACTGCACGTTTTCTAACTTTTCTCTGACTGAACTTCTCTTTCACTTGAATTTACTTTTACTCCATTTACGTTCATTTGGTCGCCGCTATTTATATGTTTATGACTGAGGCCTCCAGAATTTTCTATAGCCTCGACACCAATGAATTGCAAACACAATGTATGACCCTACTGAGTTATATAACTACACTAGTCTTAACTGTCGCCTTTAAAAAAAATAACTTTTAACTTTCTCTTGTTATGAAAAAACTGAATAATCATGGAATATTAACTCACAAAATATATAAATTAGTAATACCTACACTAAACAGTCTTGTATATCCAACAATACATTTTTCTTCTTTTTCATATTACAGTTTTGATAGTATATTAAATATGAAAGAGAACATGACTTAGGAGTTATGCATTTCATCGTAGTTTTCGGAGACGGGGTGTAAACTCAACTCTCACTTGTACACAACTTTGAAGTAATATTCATAGTTTATATATTATGTGTGACACATTCTTTTATACAAGAAAAATAGTATTTACATGGGTGTGTGGGCAAATTATTGATCATAGTGAATTAGGATGTGCAGCAGATTTTATTCATTTTTCCAAATTAATTGTGGTTTAACAAACAAGAAAAGGGACACTTATTCACGAGGCTTTAAGCTACTAAAATCAAACTTTTATTTAAAGAACTTGCATAGAGTACAAATTAGATACATGGTACATACTGTGCAGTAGTGTTTGAGTAAAGAGGTCTCCTGAAGTAGGACCCACACATTAAGTGTCTGTTAGACTGAAGACTGAAAAGACCCACATTTAAAGCTAATTATTACAGCTAACTGTGAGAAGACAGTATGAAACAGAAAAATAGAACTGAGATAGCTTACTAAAAGCAGATCGCTGGGAATGGTGAATAAAGCTTAAGCAATGGTGTAGTGCTAAATTCGGTATTGGATCCCTGCCAAAATTTGTCAGACATGTCATCAGGGTAAATATACTATATTCAAAACCTAATTTCCATTTTAATCGTATCTTCGAATAAGAGTATCGGCTACAGATTTTCAGGCAGGAAAACGCAGTTTTATGAGAGAAAAAAAAGAATACGATAATCACAAGAAATGTTGTACTTGGATATTTCTAACTAGTAAAATGTATATTACAGAGAAATACACACATACACATATAAATATGGGCATGCAACCAGTGGTGGGATTCAAATATTTTAACAACAGGTTCTCTCACTAGCAGCATGCCATATTGTCCCGATAGAGACCAAAGATTATATGTAAAATATATTTATATTATATGTAATATATACAATTTATATTACTTTTAATCTAGTCTATTTCATAAAAAGCGTTTACTGACACTTATTAGTATGTTTATTTAATTATTTTTTATATTTTGCTGTATATTTAAGTAACAATCATGATAGAAAATATAAGTTATAAATGATTGTACATCTGCTCCCAAATTTGATAAATTATTGGGGAAA